CCATTTGAGGGGAAAACTCTTTGTTTTCCCCTCAAATGGCGTGGCCCCGCCCCAGCGTCTGACGTCTGACAGCGCGCATCCCAGACCAGCTCCCGGACCTAAAGGACTCTCCCCCGCCGGTAGGAATTTTTGAGTTGGCAACCCTAACCTTGAAATACTTGGTAGGGCACTTTAGCCACTCCTTTGCTCAGCGTAATGGTCAGCAATCTGCAAGGCTACCTTAACAATAACAAAGAAAAGATGCAAATCCAATGGGATCAACAGCAGGCTGCTCCAGAAAATTGTGTTGTTCTATATTTGTTTGATATTTCCCCTTTAACAAAGGAGACCTAAAATGTTTCTAGAGAACACACTGTTATTGTCTGATTTAAAAACAAAAACAAAAACAGCAAAACTTTGGGAACTACCTATGCCGTTTGATCTCTGTTTTGTATACATTTCATTTATCCCAGTTAGATGCGATACTGAGTTTACGCACACAGGACTGGACAGAACAAGCCAGCCTGAACAATAATCCAGTCCAGGGGGCTAGAACAGGAAAAAAACATGTAGTTGCATAGTCAAATTTCATAAATTTGCAACAGCCAACAGAAGAACAAGAGAAGAAGAGATTGGATTTATACCCCCACCCGAAGGAGTTTCAGAGTGGTTTATAATCTCCTTCAGGGCTCTTTTTGTAGAAAAAGCCCAGCAGGAACTCATTAGCATAATAGGCCACACCCAAAAGCAGGAACTCATTAGCATATTGGGCCACACCCCTGACAGAACAGCTCATTAGCACATTAGGCCGCACCCACATGTTACCAGAAGTGTGGTTATCCAGCCACACCCGCCTTTTGCTTCTTATTCTGTTTACCTTGTTTGTTGTCAAAACCCAGGGCCTTTGCATGTTAGGCCACACACCCCTAATGTAGCCAATCCTAATGGGTTTCTGCTGTTGGGTGTGGCCTATTATGCTAATGAGTTCCTGTGGGGCGTGGCCAACTTGGGAGCCAGCCGGAACTCCGTTCCTGTGTGTTCCTGCCCCAAAATAGCCCTGATCTCCTTTCCCTTTGCCTCCCCACAACAGACACCCTGTGAGCAATGTTCCCTCTAAGCTGTGGAGTCTTGTGAGCAAAAATCCTACTTTGTGAGCTACTGGCATTAAAGTTGTGAGCGAGCGATTTGGCTGCTGCATAAATCAGTTTGCTCTGGAGCCATCCTTCCTGAGCTAAGACAAAAATGTGTGAGCCGGAGGCTAAAAATCTGTGAGCTGGCTCACACTCACTCAGTTTAGAGGGAACTATGCCTGTGAGATAGGTGGGGCTGAGAGAGCTCTTTCAAGACGTGTTCATGAGAGAACAGCTCTGAAAGAACTTGTGACTGACCCAAGGTCATGCCAGCAGCTGCACATGGAGGAGTGGGGAAATCAAACCCCAGTTCTTCCAGATTAGAGTCCGCACTCCTAACCACTACGCCATCTTCGCGGCATCCCACCTTGCTCTTCTGGAAGTCAAGGTGGCACTTCTATGTAGACAGCCAGTGCTATGTTAGAGCATCTGGCTAGGAACGTGAAGACCCAGGTTAAAATCTCTACTGTGGTCCAAGGTCAGCCAGCAAGCTTACCTGGCCATCACACCCTCTCAACCAAACCTACCGCAGAGAGTTGTTGGAAGGATAACATGGAGGAGAAGAGGAGAATCCATTTTGGATTCCAATTTCGGGGGGGGGGGAGAGGCAGGGTATAAATTATTCAAATAAACGAAAATAAAAACAGATCAAGGTTGGGCAGCCCTGTTGGTCTGAAGCGATAGGACAAAGTTCGAGTCCAGGGGCACCTTAGGAGCAACAAAGTTTTATTCAAACTTTCGTGTGTGAACTTTCATGTGCGTGCACACTTCGTCAGACACACTTCGTGTGCACGAAAACTCACACCTTGAATAAAACTTTGTTGGTCTGAAAGGTGCCGCTGGACTCAAACTTTGTTCTGAAAATAAAAATATGCATGTTCTCAGAAGGACTGAACAGATCCAAACCTATGCCTCAGAAGGCTTGTATAGATATTTAATTTCTTTGCCTTTCTTTAAATTTTCATACATTGTAAATATTTTGCCTCATTTGTTTCCTTTGCTGATTTTCCCCCTTCCTTCCTTCCTTCCTTCCTTCCTTCCTTCCTTCCTTCCTTGTAGTGATGATATTCCCAACCCAACTTCTTCCAACTGTGACATGCGAAAGCCACTGTGACCCCATCGGTTGGCACCCACCTCCCCCAAACAATACTTACATTTGTGATGCAGAACAGAGCACCCAGGAAAGTGATGAACGCAACCCCAAAGGTGAAGAGCTTCCTGTGCCTTTTCAGGATGTGGAAATCATCCGCTAAGCCAGTGATGAT